AATAGCCAAAAGTAGCCAATAGTACGGTCCAAACGTGAGACCAAATTCACAAACAGTTGTTCACTATTAGCCAATAGTGACTCAAAGTTTTTACAAAACTTTCAGATATTTTTCAAACAATTATTTTCATGACATCTTTTTACTGTATATTACTTGTGTATGAATTAACATGTATTGTGTAATGTGTTTGAATGCAATATATAGAAAATATTAGTCAATTTCAAATCCTAACAATAATCGATATTTCATAGTTATTATTTCAATTAGAATCTAGAAATATGAAATATTTAAAATCAAAAATAGAAAAATTTAATTGTCAATTTATTGTCACCTTTAAATAATTAGCTAATTAATAATTAATATTATCACTAATTATCAACATGATACGTTTTGCAACTTTTCACAAACATTCAAGGTCTCGCATGTATTATATATGCAAATCACTATTACTATGTTTTAAATTATAATCCATGTTTTATTTGAATCAAATGCTAATCATTTCAATTACATTTCAAATTGTATTATATTTATTTATTTAACCTAGATCCATGTAATGGTATGTAGACTTTATACTGTTGCAATAGACTTTAAGTTAAGGGTATTACAGTGTTGTATGTGTTTAATATCGATACACTATTACTATTCAATAATTAATATTTAAATTCTTTATGTAAATTAAATATTTGTAAAATCAGTGGACCCGGAATGGACAGAAATACTACCCTGGCTAAATCAATATTAACATTGAATTTATTTGAGCAATGTATTACTTATATATTTGTGATAATTCTCAATATTTGTATCATTTTGGATATAATTGTCATAAAAGCCATATTATATTCAGTTAAACACAACGCAAACACTATTAATAAAAGACCAAGTTTATTATTGCTAAACATCGCCTTATCTGATATAATTACGTGCTGCTCTTGTTATCCTACTTTTGTCTTGATACCGGTGCTCAATACTTATATGACCATGCACACATTTGTTTTATTTATAATCTCATCATGTCTTACATACTGTATGACACTCTCAACGTATATTAACTCCATATCCATAACAGTCTTATCGTGCGATCAATACTTTTCATTAACGCAAGTCTTTTACGCTAATAACCCACTGAACAGACTGTCCACTAAATGGCTATTATACGGCATATGGACTACCAGTGCCACACTATCCCTACCCTCTATTATGTCGGTTGGGGTTATTTACATTAATTATAACGATTCTGTGCTATATTGCATCGAGTACAATATCAGATATTTAAGGGGAATACATGAGATTTATACTCAATGTACCACGCTAATCATTGAGTTTATAATACCAGCAATCGTAATATTAGCGTGCACATTCAAAATATCCTATTTGAGCGTGGCCAACTATTTAACACGACAATCCTACATATCGTTTCACGTAATTAGGCGTTTGTTTTTATTACTAACCCCGTTCATTGCAACCCATTTATTATTTTATTATACATATTACTTGGTCAATTATGAAAGACATTTGAACAATACACAATTCACCGAGTTTTGCACTGACCTGTCACATTTATCGTTTGTGTATATTATTATCTACTTTGTTTCCATAATCATGTATCCAATGGTGTACTTCTGGTTTAGTCAACACTTTCGGCAACTTTTGCGACAATATTTGCTGACATTTCCGTATATTAACCGTTGTTTTAAACAACATATTACTCCAAAACATATTCATATTAACAATATCCCAAATGTTCAAGAATCTATTCCGTTGGAAATGATTAATATTTAAAGTTGTTAGTATTGATTATTTATGTAAACATTTTATTTAAATTAAACTTTTAATGTAATTTATGTGTAATAAAACAAATATAAAATATAAACCCTACAATATTTTGAAATGCTTTCATAAGAATTATTTCCATTAAATGATAACAAATTGTATTCATTTGAATAGACATTTACATTTTTCAGTCAAAAGCACAATTTGATCCCCTCCCCCCTAATACAAATATTATAAAATACAATACCTCGAATATACAAAAATGTATATTTTGAGGTTATTTATATTTTATCTAGGTTACGAGCAAAGTCCAATCTTAGTACTTTCCTTACATATTGTTACTTAAATAACTTATATTTCATACGAACGTTGAATGCAATCATGAGTTAAAGTGAATATTCTCTTCAAAGCCATTATATTTAGCTTTAAAATATTGACCAAAAAATGTCGCATCACTTATCATGGACTCAAACGTGGGATCAGATGTGAGACAATTCCTATCGATAGACCACTCGTTGTATTTGTCTAACACTTGTCGACACGAGGGTCGGGCAGTCGGGTCTTCGAAGTTCAACATCTCTTTCAGCACTTGTTTTAAGGCAATCACACATTTGTTTAACACTTCATTGTTTGATGAATAGGTCTGTGATTTACGTCTAAATATTTAAATAGTGTTAATTTATATAATAAATACAATAAGATATTACTTACTCTAATATGTCGTCCGGATTGAAGTCAAAAATCTCTGCTGTAGTTATGGCCAGATCGTAAACATCACTCTTGGAGTCATTTGACTCACCCCTACAACAAGTATAATGTTTACATAACATTACATTGGATCAATGTTAAATAAATAAACAAACATAATATAATTTGAAATGTAATTGAAATGATTAGCATTTTATTCAAATAAAACATGGATTATAATTTAGAAAATAGTAATAGTGATTTGCATATACATGTGTGAGACCTTGAATGTTTGCGAAAAGTTGCAAAACGTATCATGTTCATAGTTAGCTAATTATTTAAAGGTGACAATAAATTAACATTAAAATTTTTCAATTTTCGATTTTAAATAATTCATATTTCTAATTGAAATAATAAATAATAAATAAACTATATCGATTTATAATATTAAAAAGTGTAGTATTTATGGCCATATTTTAATACAACCCCATATTAGGGGCGACTAGGGTTTCCGTTAATCCAATTGTCGGGCAATCGTGCCGTCGTTATTGGTGTCGTGAGTGAGAGTATACCGGGAGAGAGGCCTAACAAACCTCCCTTACCCTTTGGATGGGGTAGCGATGTATTTGTTGGGGTTTTGAGTAGGGATTGGATTCAAGACACCATCACTGATACAAAGCATTCAAACGCTATTTCCGTAGAAATGGTTTTATTCATCAATTTTATGGCTTTTATTATCACTATATTTGCGTAGATATTGCCCACAATTCGCGAGTTTTCATTGATTTCAATATAATTGTAAATTTAAAATATTTATTTAAATTCTTTGTTAAATTATTTTTATTTATTGAATTAATAAGTTACTTAATTCAAGTGAATATTCTCCAACTTCTCTTCAATTTCTTTATATTTTGTATTAAAATATTGAATGAAAAACTTGTAATCATTTTGTTGAATGAGTTTTAGTGTGGAATCAAATGTGGGATCAGTTTTGAGACAATTCTTATGAATAGACCATAAGTTATATTCCGAATAGAAGTAGTTCACAGAAGTATTCATCAAATTATGAAGAGTTAAACAAATGTGGGATCAGTTTTGAGACAATTCTTATGAATAGACCATAAGTTATATTCCGATAATACTTGTGAACACTCGGGTCTGACAGTAGGGTCGAGCGATAGCATGGTTTTCAATACTTGTTTCAGTTGAACCACACATTTGTTTAACTCTTCATAATTTGATGAATACTTCTGTGAACTACTTCTAAATATAAAAATATTTTCTAATTAATATTATAATAAAGTTATCCATTACTGACCGCATTATGTCCTCCAAATCAAAGCCAAATATCTCTTCTGTAGTTATGGCCAGACTGTAGACATCACCCTTGGGGTCATTCGACTCACCCTTAAGTATTTCCGGTGCCTGATAGGCCGGGTTACTTAACTTTGATATAGATTTATGAATAGTAGCCGACCCAAAGTCAGCCACTTTGAAAAACCTGCCATTCCTTAACATTTCTGGCCAGTAATATATTACCGGAGTGAAGGTCTCGATGAATGACCGGAGGATTCAATTCATGTAAATATTGAACGCATTCTAAGGTGTTCTGAGGTGTTTATTCACCATGGATGACATCAACGCGTGGTATGAACCGACTAATTTTATCGCTCATTTAGAAATGTATTGCAAAACTAGTTATTTCTTGATTTACAATGATTTCGATGAATACGAGTCCGGATTCCGGAGTAATAGGCGTTTGCTTTGGGTTTTAATATTAATATGTTTGCTATCATTACAAACAATTAGATTCACAATCATCACAATATTACAATATTTACAATATTAATATTTCAAATTATAAATATTTAATAATTTTAATTTAAGGCATCTAAGAATTTAAGTGAATATTCTCTAACTTTGTTTCAATCCCTTTATATTTTTGTTTAAAATATTGCCCAAAAAAATTGTAATCATTTTGTTGAATAAGTTTTAGTGTGGAACCCAACGTGGGATCAGTTTTGAGACAATTCTTATGAATAGACCATAAGTTATATTCCGATAAAATTTCTGAACACTCGGGTCTGTCTGTCCAGTGAGGGCCGGGTATGTGCGGGTGTTTCCAGTTATAGTATGACATTGAATGCAATACTTGTGTTAATTTAGTAATGCATTTGTTTATAACGTCATTGCCTGAATACTTTTCTAACCTACAGAATATATTCAAATAAATAAAAATAATTTAAATATTAATTCACATTATCTTACAGTTTGTCCTCCAAATGAATCCCAAAAATATCTTTTTCTGCAATTATAGCCAAACTGAAGACGTCTATTTTATGGTTATAGACCACTCCCTGACCCACTTCTGGCGCCTGATATCTCAGATCTCCCTTATCTGACGAGTGCTGGTGAACAGTAGCCAACCCAAAGTCAGCCACTTTCAAATATCTGCCATTTCTTACAGTCCTCGCCACTAATATATTGTCGGGTTTGAGGTCTCTATGAATGATCGGAGGATTCAATTCATGTAAATATTGAACGCATTCTAAGATCTCTTTGAATATATGACACGAAATGTAAAACTCGATTGAATTAAAGATCTCTTTGAATATATGACACGAAAAGTAAAACTCGATTGAATTCATGGGTTCTCCCGGTTGTCGACCAAATACTTGTGGTTTGTGTTGAAGAATATTCTTCAGACTATGTGAACACAACTCCATTTGAATATAATAAACATTATCTTCATACCATTGGTTGTGGTATTGAACACAATATTCTGACCTAACCTTTATCAATTTTTCAATTTCTTTATAACATTCCCGTAAATTGTCGTCATCTGTAAAGTGAATAAATTTTAATAACTATTTCTAAAATACATTTAGCAACAGAACTTTGAAATCCTATTGAAATCTAATATTAATCAATTAAATTACTTTCTAATCTTATAATCTTAACCGCATATTCATGTCCAGTATATTTTTCTTTAACAACAAATACTTTCCCAAAAGCTCCCGAACCTAATGAACGCAACTCTTCATACAAACGCTTATAAATATTTACTTCACAAACAACTATAAAAGTAAATAAATAAATAAATCATTCATTCATTTTTGTTAAAACGTCATTCAAAAAGTACGTAAGTATAGAGGGGAGGGGAGAGAGTGGGTGTTAAAACAGAAACTTATGAAATAATTAATAGTTCATTTTATGTATTTGTTTTAAAATATACTTGATGACTGTACGTACTTTATGAATGACCCCTAAAACCAATTCATACCATTGTTTGATAATTCTTTTATAGAAGAAAATACTTTTTCCAAATAATCCAAACATTTTTCTATAAATTCTTCGCAATTCTTATAATTATATTCCTTATAATCACACAAATTAATGGTTTTATGAGTCATTAGTAACTCATTTGCGAAACAGTCGAAGAAATTTGTATAATTTGTTTCAGTTATATTATGTAAGTTTTTGTAACTAATTTTGTATACTTTGTCATTCATTATCGTATATAAGTGGTATTGACTAATAGGTTTGGTGGTTCTAATTCTATTTATATCTGTAAACCTTTTATCAGTATTTAATATTGTTGGTGTAATTTGTATAAAATGTTCATCTTCACTATATTGTCCACAGTAATAAATAAATCCATCATTTGTTAAGAAATATGTTGTAAAACCTCCGGGGCAGATGGTCTTAATACAAGTCATGTCTGCAATGAGTTGTGGTTCCCATATTTTATCCGATGAGTTGTGTCCCAAATTATACCAATCATTTCGACCCCAACTAAACACCTGTCCGTTGGATGTGATGGCAAATGAATAGTAGCTCAAACAGTATATACTTTTAATTATAAAAAAAGGATTAAAATTTATTCTAAATGGCACCCAGTTTTGGAATATAACCCCATCTGGTCCACAACCTAACTGTCCGAACGTATTATCACCCAATCCATAGACACAGCCGTCACTCGTGAGAATCATTGCGTGATAATAACCACAACTTATATTGCAAATAGTCTTATATTCAATGTATTTGGGATCACAAATATTAGGTTCTATGTACAAAACATTCGCATTCATTAGTTCTTTACAGAAATTGGATGATCTGTCAAAACGCTTAATAAATTATACGAAACTTTGTATTAATTAACCCTTAAATGCGCTCAGAGTTCTACATTTATTAAGGATTTTGACAATTCATTTTTTTAGGTGCGATATTTACCTAACCATAGCTTCCCTCTATTACCCCAACCATAAAGACAGTTGTGTTGAGTGAGGGCGAACACAAAGTTGGATCCATTGATGAATTGTGTGATATTCTTGTGACACAATCTGTCGATCACTTGGATTTCATTGACGTATAGATTGTGTCCCAAACCAAGAGATCCCCAATAATTAGATCC